CCCTAGCAATGAGAAGTCAAATCTAGTCTCATGCATTAAGCATTATATTTTGCTGTATTTTAGCATAAATTATTCGCTTAGCTTTTACATGCCAAGCAAACTCAATTGGTATTTATTAGTGGTTTTTTTTCTCGTTGTTTTGTATTGGTCTCACAATGTGGTGGTGTAGTTTAGCAAAACAATGCTGATTTTTCTTCTCTTTCCAGATGTGTAAAGTACTGTGAGGTGCAGCATAGTTTGTGGCACGCCAGAAGAAATGCATCTCTCTTGATCCACCAAATAACCACATAAAAGTTTTCATGCTTTGGACACTTGCCACCTTGGTTATGTTTTATTTCTAGATGGGCAATGTGACTCGTGGGCATTGACTGCCACAATAAATCACTCTGTACTGTTGGCAGTGCAGGTATTTTATCGTGATATGCCAGACACATGCGTTTTGTAGAGCCTCTTTAGTATCCTGTGTGTTATTTCATTTGCAAGCTTGCATTTTCAGAACTATTTATGGCTAGTTTGGGATTTTCATTCCTCCCACCATTACTTTGAGTCCTGTTTTAAAATGTTCTCTAACAAGAAACTTCAGAAAGATTGCAACTCAATGTTACGTTAATTCAGCTTTCTCGCTGATTGACCAACTTTAGGATTTAGTTTATTAAAGAAACCTTAATTTTTAAACTGTCTCTGCAGTTAATTTACCCAAATTTACAAAGTTTGGGCAGTAGATTCAAGGAAGCACTTGAAAAAAAAGGCACAGGTAACCTGTTAGATGGAATGGGTGGTTACATGTGAAACTTGGGTTGATGGTTTAGTTGAATTGCAGCACTGGTTTGTGATGGATTATTAAATTCCTGATAGGATACTTTTGCTAAAAAATTCCAATTCTTATGCTTCATTTCTTGGAAGCATGGAATGGATGTAGAGAAACAAATGAGAGGAGCTGCTTGGACTGGGACTGATGCTTCAAAACCAAAAAAAATCCGCGTAATTGCTGCTTGTGAAGTCTTGCTTGTAAATCTGTCAGCACCCAGTGAATGTTTTTGTGGTTTCTGAATATCCTATTTTGAGCCTTCCTTGTTTTCTGTCTCTGGATGGATGTAATTCACTGTAAATCTGATGTGGGTGATCCAACTACAGAGTTTCCATTCCTCCTGTTAAACTAAATTATTTCTTGGTTTTTTTTTTCACTGATTCTTAGAAAAAAATTGGTTATTTCTTTGTTAAAGACAATCCAGATAAACTGTCTGTAGAGTCACTACTTGTCTGTGGTTGTATTAATAGCAGAATGCTAATGGCAGTGTTTGAAATATTTGCTCAACAATTAAAAAGCATTACTAGCTTCAGGGAAATAGGTGGATTTTGCTGTAATTTGTGATTGTTCAGTGCTTTTCTGAGGTGTTTTAGGATAGCTCACCTGTGCGGAAGCTAGCAGGTACAAGATATTAGTGTCTTTTTAAGAAGGGAAAAGATGAAAGAGGTGTGCGTAACTCACAGTGGATTTAAATAGACAAAGTTGAAATTGAAAGTAAAATGTTGGCATGCCTTAGTTCTTGTTCTGTGTGACAAGCAAGACCATATGGCTGTGCAGCAGTATTTTTCAGTTGTATCTGAACTAGTTACTTCTAGCCTCATTATATGGCTGGAGACATTGAATCATATTGATTTCATTTTGAAGAACATGGGAATCGTGAGATGCTAATTCTCACTGAAAGTAGCTTACTTTCTTAGCTTGTTTTTATAGGAGTAGTATGAATTCTGTTGGATCTTTTTATGATGCTTTTTCCTCTAACATAAATGTACTGTTTCTTTGTAGGGCGCCAATGCCTCTGCTTTGGAGAAAGAGATTGGTCCTGAACAGTTCCCTGTGAATGAGCATTATTTTGGCTTGGTCAATGTAAGTGGATTTTCTGTGGTTGAAATGCTGGTTTTTAATTCATATCCCAACTTTGAATTTAACAGGATTCTCTGTTAGAACTTTATCTGTGAGCACTTCTAACTTACACTGGGACTCTGCATAGACACCACAGCCTGCAGTGTAGTGCTATGCCTTCTTATGAACCAAGATACAAATTTTATTTTAAATACAGAAAAAGAAGTATATTTATTTTAAAGTCTTTGAGAGGAAACCTTCATACTTGGGTCCATTTCTAATTATAGAATGTGTTACTTTTCTACAAACATACTTCTCATGGGATTAGTGGAAGTTCTGAGTGAGGACTTAGCCAGGAGATGAATGACATTGACTTGCTTCGTCATTTTCTTACATGTAATAATACTCCTTTTTATTTTTTTGACAGCCCTGTGTAACAGGGAATCCTTCTAAAAAGGCTTCTTTTTTGTACCTGTCAGTTTGTTTAGAGCTGACTTGACTGGCATCTGTTGGGCAGTGAGAGTTGTCTCCCTAAATTAATGATGGAGAGCGTGGAGCGTTGATGTTGATCTTGCCAGTGCTGTTGTGCCTGTGATACCTTTAACCAGTGAATATAGGAAGTTATTGAATAGAAACACTGATTTTGGGGCATCGTATTTATGTGGTGTAACAATACAATTTTGGCAAAACTCACCAAAAACGTAAGTATACTTCTGTTCACTGGTCATCTAGGTACATTTTGTTGAAAACCGAGAGATTATTTATCTTTTGACACACCAAGTAAGGTTAACGTAACTACTGAAGGGTTATGTGTTACAGCTCGTTACAAACTCATTTAATTGACTTGTGTGTGGGTTTCCAGCAGTTTGTGTTCCGGGACACCAAAGTATCTGAACAGAGTTACGTCCCTTAAGTATGGTGTTAATGGCCATTCCAGAGCTGCTGAGGTTTGCACAGTGATGAGGAAAATGGGAGGCATCCCCAATTGTAACATAAATAGCCGAGCGATGAATAGCGTGAAGAGGAAAAATAGTGTTCTAAAAATAACCCGAATTATTATAACCACATCCATTCTCTGTTTTGAAGGACAAAATATGACTAACCCTGTTGTGTTTTATTCCTTGCAGCCGCTTTCTGTAGAACAATTGTTTTCATGCTGTTGTTCTGCAGAGCTTTTTCCTAAGTTATTTCTAGTTCTTTCATGATTTGAAATTAATTGGAGCACTTTAAAGAGGGCGGTTTCGTGGCTTCAGCATCAATACTTGTACGTGTGTGGTTGCACTGCAAATAGAATCAAGTGTTGAACCCGTGAAGAATGAAGGCTTTAAATTTCCTTTTAGTAGTTATTTTCTCTTTGGCTTAGTGAGCTGAAGCAGCTTGCCTGAAGAATTTCTAGCAAAGTTAGGGTTACAGTTGGAAAAGTCCGACTATTCTGTACTTATAAATGCAAACCGATTGCGGTTTAAAAGTACGACACTGTTTATTTTGTAATAATTTTCATACTGTACTACTGTTTATTTGTGGAGAGCTCTCTCTGATGTAGAGAAGGGTAGAGCAGTAATTGAGAGATTCAGAAGTTTCTCAAGGCCCCGAATTGCTCGAAGTTGGAAAGATTTTGTTCCAACATGAAAAAAAGGTGAGAATTGCAGTGCATCACATGGCCTTTTTGTAAGGTACTTGCCGTGCAGTAAAATATGGTCTTAGGAATAAAAGTTCTTCCACATCACTTTATATAAATGCAGTAGCAAATAAAGAGAGGTTTAATACTGTTTAGAAGTAGACAATTTTAAAAACTAAAGCATGCCATAAATTTAATGCCATTAAATACTTGCTTTGTAAACTTTATTGACTTAAGATGCACCATGGCCTTCTGGGTTTTTGACGATGGCTAATTTCTAGTTTCTTCTGTCTCAGTTTTCTGGGATTATTATCGACAAATAAATCAGATACCTCATCTAAAACTAATAATACTTAATCACATTTTTGGTAATTCTCTTGCCTAGCTTGTCCTGTATGCAAACTTAAATAACATTATGCTTATTTTGTTTTCTTCGGTCACTAACAAGCATATGAGTTAGTTTCTATCCTAATCCACGTTTGTTCAGCTTGCGTGTTTGTTTTTCTCACGTCAGTAAGTTTGAGCTGTTGTTCCGTGTTGTTTGCATATAGCACAAATTAATGTAACTATAATGCCGTAACTTTTTTAGCTGTGTGAATGAATCTGTTAATTTTCTGTTTATTAAACTGAGTGTTAGCTTGAAATCACTGTGCTACAGTAATCACACCAAATTGTGGTGCACAGTAGTGACCATATTCTCTGAGTACCACTTTAAAATCAGTCTAGTAAGATTTGTGTGCTCGTTTTGCTGCAGTTTTTAAAATTGCTTTGCTCTCAATGCTCTTGAGATGCAGAATCTCGTCACCAGAATATCTGGGGACCCAGAATTTGTTTCACTTTTTTGAAGCAACAGTATTGTACAATAAAAATATTTGCATATTTCTTGTGGCTGATACGCTGATATCTCAGTGCTCTGAGTGTTCCCTCTCTTTAAGCAATGTGGATCCCTGCCTCTGAAAGTCGTTATCGCTGTCCTCCCTTCTCTGACATGACACTGCCTTCCAGTACAGCAGATGTAAACCAGCTGCTCTTTGAGTTTGCCAACATCATGTACTTCTCATAATATTTCATTATCAACAAGAAATATTAACAGATACCTTGCTAGAAAGTACTTGGTGTATCTGACACAGGCAAATGTGACATGAATTTGTGCATTGAGCTCTTGTTGCAGTAACCGAGTTGAAGGCAGCGATGCTGATGGGTGCTGTTTCTTCCTTTTCCTGGTTTCTTGTCCCTCTCTTCTGCTGTATCATGGGCACCCTCTACACCAGCACCAGCAGCATCTCCCCTGTCAGGTTTAGTGGCATCCTGCATCTCCACAAGATTTCATTTTGTGATGAGCCCTCAATTGGATTTTTTTTTTTGTTCAGTGGTTTCCTGCTTTATTGTTTTTTTTGTGCCGAGTATCACAGCGACTGTTGTCTTCTCTTCCTTTCTTTGCTGTTACCAGCCGTGACGATACCAGAATGAGTCTTTTCCACCGTGCCTGCTAGTATTTCCCCAAGAAATGAACCCTGACAGTTGACTTTCCCATTTTCAGTACGCTCTTAATGAGCAACCTCTTTCTGTTGGTATGTTTGAACAGACCTAATATGAACACGTTTGTTTTCCTTTTGTTCTGTTTTAACCAGTTCGGCAATACCTGCTACTGCAACTCAGTCTTACAGGCACTTTATTTTTGTCGTCCATTTCGAGAAAAAGTTTTGGCATACAAAGTGCAGCCTCGAAAGAAGGAAAGCCTCCTGACATGCCTCTCTGATCTCTTCAACAGTATTGCTACACAAAAGAAGAAGGTGGGAGTCATCCCACCCAAGAAATTTATTTCCCGATTGAGGAAAGAAAATGGTAAATGAACAAACAAAATTTTTATCCAGATTTAAGCACATAAAACATAAACACAACTTCTTTTTTAAGCGAGTCCAAATTGTCAAGTTTTAATAGATTTCTGGAAGATTTTTGAACTCTTGTTTGTGATGTGAATTTCACCACCTCTGTAGCACAGGAAGAGAGATTATATCAGAACTGTGTTGTAAAAGGATTATCTGGATATGTTTGTTTCTATAATTGCATAGACCATGTACACAAGGTTCAGTACTTCAGTTACTCTGTGTTGGCATCACATTCTGTAGAGTTTGCTGCAAGTCAGCACACTTCGGGTCATTGCTAGAAATGATCTTGGGCTGAGCAGACCTCATGGAGTTCTAAAGAGGCTTAACCAGCCCTTTCTTACATTTGCGGTAGGATAAATTCCTTCTGATGAGAGCGAGTGGTTATTTCCCAGGGCTAGAGAGTTCTGTACATTGATTTATCATCTCTGCTTGAAACTTAAAAGATAACAAACTTGTAGTAGGGGATTTTTGCCCCTTGATGCTGGACTTAATGAACTAATGCCCCAAGGCAGCACATCTGAATTTCTGTAGTTGTCTCCCTCCCCTCAAAAAAAACCTCTAAACCAGTCATGGTTTGTTTTCAATTCCAGGAAATGCCCAAATTAAGTTTCCTTTATGTTACTTTCCAGCTGCTTGTGTCTTGCAACCAGAGGAGTAGATGAGGGTCACCTAAAATCCATTGTGAAAATAAAAACTCACAGTTCTTCAGAGACTCCTAACAGCATAGCCCACAGTTCTGTAATAGGGTAGAGAAGGGGGAAAGGCACACACTGACTGCTAAAAGCATAAGAACTTGATATTATGGAGTATCTGTATTTTTACATTCTCCTTGATCTCTTCCTTTCCAGAATTATTTGATAATTATATGCAGCAGGATGCACATGAATTCTTAAACTACCTACTTAACACTATCGCTGACTTACTCCAAGAAGAGAAGAAGCAGGAGAAGCAGAATGGCAAACTCCAGAACGGCAGCATTGAGAGTGAAGAAGGAGACAAGCCTGATCTGACGTGGGTCCATGAAATCTTCCAAGGAACACTAACCAATGAAACCAGATGTCTTAACTGTGAGGCTGTACGTTTAAACCAAAACCAAACCTCTTAGATTTTTCACAGGTTCTGGATCATTTCCCCTAATAATAAGCACACTTTTTCATTTATTAGGGTAGATGAAATTGCACTCTCTCTATTAAAATATGGAACATAGCCTATTTTAGGACTGTATCACCTCTATGTTCAAACCAATACTCATGAAGGTATGTTTCTCAGAAAAAGGGTAGTGTTTTTTCTGTTCCTCCTCCCTGTTTCCATCAAGGCAGCCTGCACCTGGCTGATATAAGCTGCCTTTTTGTCTTCGTGTTATTTCCTGTGTCAGTGATTGATAGTTTATGTTGTGTTTCTACATGAGAGTTGCTCACTATTTATTGAACTCTAGGATTAACTGAATTTCGTGAACTGGAAGTCCATGCTTCTTGGGGCTGGTCCATAGTCACTCTATTTCAGAGCAAAAGAAGTGCCACAAAATCTAGAATCAGAAGAACCACAACACCTTCAGACCAGGACTTTGTAGTTAGCCATGTGCCATGTCTGATATAATATTTATAAAAAATTGAAAGTCCAGATGGGGAGAGGAAAAAAGAGATGTGATTACAACTGAAATGACTGTTCTTGGCATTTTAAATCTAAAATTATGGCTGTATGCTGAATAGAAGCTCTAAAAATGATGTTAATAAGATTCTGTCTCAAGAATTTTGAAATTAAGCGTGACTGTTCCACAAATGGAAAGATGGTTTTCCTAACTGCTAACCCATTTAATTGAAAGCCCATCTGCCTGTTTCTGTGTTTCCTCTAAGTATTTACTGTTAAGCTCTTAAATGCAGCAGAAAGCCCTATCAGTCTACAAAGCAGAGTGGAATACGGTTAAAGCTTCTCCAGCTCTGAGTGGTTGAAAACTTGGTTTTGGCAGTGAAGTAATCGGATGTGTCTTGGCATCTTAAGGGGGAGAGAGATTTTGCAAGAAAGGTTTTTGGGTTTGCTTTTTTCCTGGGTTTTGGCTTGTTTTAATATTCCCCTCTGGATTGTAGCAACACGTCAGATTATTTCTTCAGTTTTAGTTTAACTCAAGAAAGGGTCTCTGTCTGTGTGTATTTATTTTTTATCACAAAGCTCTCTACTTGCAACGAGGATGTTGTGCCATTCCAGAAATGGTTAAAAGAAATCTGCCAGTTCTAAACTGTTATGAAATATTTCTTCTTATTTTTTTTTAAGGTTAGTAGCAAAGATGAGGACTTTCTGGATCTATCGGTTGATGTGGAACAAAATACATCAATTACACACTGTCTAAGGTAAAATATTTGTGAATGGAAAAAATAGCAATCTTTGGTCAGAAGGAGACAGCCTAGCTTACAGAATCCCAGACCGTTAGGGATTGGAAGGGACCTCAAAAGCTCATCCAGTCCAATCCCCCTGCCGGAGCAGGAACACCCAGATGAGGTTGCACAGGAAGGCGTCCAGGCGGGTTTTGAATGTCTGCAGAGAAGGAGACTCCACAACCTCTCTGGGCAGCCTGGGCCAGTGCTCTGTCACCCTCACTGAGAAGAAGTTTCTTCTCAAATTGAAGTGGAACCTCCTGTGTTCCAGCTTGTGTCCGTTACCCCTTGTCCTATCATTGTTTGTCACCGAGAAGAGCCTGGCTCCATCCTCGTGACACTCACCCTTTAAATATTGATAAACATGAATGAGGTCTCCCCTCAGTCTCCTCTTCTGCAAACTAAAGAGCCCCAGCTCCCTCAGCCGCTCCTCAGAAGGGAGATGCTCCACTCCCTTGATCATCATAGCCCTACGCTGGACTCTCTCCAGCAGTTCCCTGTCCTTCTTGAACTGAGGGCCCAGAACTGGACGCAATATTCCATGCAATGGAGCTTAGTTGCTCCATTGTGCAACAGTTGTAAGTACCACTTGATTTATGGTAAAATATGCTTTGTTCAGAGTGCCGTTCATGTTAGTTTTATCATAGGGTTTTAAAGCTGCAAGTTTCTTAGTGGTTTTTAGTAGTTAATGAGTATGATGATTTCTTAGTGGTACGTAAGATTAATTTTTTTCACTTCCTTTTATGGAGATTTTAATTTGTTACGTCTTATAGCCAGGTTTTATCAAAACTAAACATGGTATGTTTGCTTTCATAATAAATTCTTGTTTATTTTAATATTGTTACTGCGTTTCAGTTGTCTGGTCTTGATGTTCATGGACAGGTTGGGTTGGTTTTTTTTCCTGATACAAATTTGCTCCATGTATTTTACTGCTAGATCCAGGGCTTATCAGCTGCTTGGATACTACAAGTTGCATATAGCATCTGGCTTTTTGTAATAGCTCATAATGAATGTGTAATTGCTAGGAGTTGAAAGATAATCCAGACTTTGGCTCGTCAATGGCTATAGGTCTTTATATTTAAAGTCTGCCACCAAAAAAGCCCATGGAGTGACTACCTCTGGGAACAAAACACAGTATTGCTGTTTATTAGCCATCGTGTTTGACTCCTACCCAGGAAGCATCCAGTTAGTAGTTGAGGCTGTAATTTCCAGATTTTCCAGCTTAATATTGATATTGCATCCCAAGACTGGGACAAATAAACCTCAAATGTGTTTGGGATGTGTGAGTGATCTGAATAAGAGGCATCTCATGTTCTGCTTGTACTTAGGTTTTTTCCAGCATTATTAGTTTATCTGACTTTTATTTCATTTCCACAGAGGGTTTAGTAATACTGAAACTCTGTGCAGTGAATATAAATACTATTGTGAGCAGTGCCGCAGTAAACAGGAAGCACAGAAGAGGTAAGGTTCAAATATTCAGGATAACATAAATGTTCTCTTAATGAGCAGCTGTTGGAAGAATACACCTTGTGAATTCAGTAAAAACTAAATGTAAGACTGTTTTAGGTCTGTGTTGGGTGGGGAAGGGAGTAAGGAAGAGGGAAGTGACCAAGTAACTTTGTGGCAACCTTATCACAGAGAAATGAAGAGATTAATTTTGTTTTCCTCCCAGAAGAGTTTATATCTGGTGCTTCCAGATACTTGCATTTTCCCCTGTTAGCATTAATCAGCCTAAAGGCACTGAAAACCATCCCATCTGCTTTCACTGTGAATGCTGTATACAGTATATTCTCACCTCATACTTGGTTACCATCAGAGCAGCAAAGACAGATTTATTCCATATATTTCTTCTCACAGATGTGATGAAAAATTGATGCTTTCAGCGTAGACAGTTGTCCTGCATTCAGACGGCAGTTGTGTGGTTCATGTTTCAGAATAAATGTTGCCTGTTCTCACTGGAATACACATGAGAAAAAAAGCAACCTTTTGAAGATCTTCATCAACATTTTAGATGCCTTTTAAGAAGCTTCTTTGTATTAAAACTGTTCTTGAGGAAAAAGTTGTTTTACAAGATCTGCTCATTCTTTGTTCTTTTTTTAATGTATTTTTATGGCTCAGAATGAGAGTGAAAAAGTTGCCCATGATTCTCGCTCTGCACTTGAAAAGGTTCAAATACATGGACCAGCTGCATCGATACACCAAACTCTCCTACCGCGTAGTCTTCCCCTTGGAGCTGCGGCTGTTCAACACGTCAGGAGATGCTACAAATCCCGACAGAATGTACGACCTCGTGGCTGTAGTTGTTCACTGTGGCAGGTAAGTTTGGTTTGTGCCTTCTGGACTTTAAATGCCCTTTTTTGACATTTTAAAAGGAGTCTGTCATCCATATGCCGTTTTATAACGGTACAATATGGGAGCATGCTAAGCAGTGCCAGAGCTAGTTGTCTGAAAGATTTTTGGCGTTTGCTTTTGTGTTTTGGTCTGTTTTGACTACTTTCTTACTGTTCTAAATTTTGCTTTCTGATTACACAGTCTCCTTTTGTATCAGCTTTCAAATATGGTAGAAAATCAGGCCAGTTGCTTCTTTGCGCTGTAGCTAAGAGCAGCCTTTAAAAAGAACAGAAACAACAATAAAACCCTCCCCAAACCCTGCTTTCCAGGAAAGCTAAATGAAATAAAAACATATCTTGGAAAATCTCTTACTAAAATAGAATTAAGTTACAGTTCTCATGTTGCTACTTGCTAAACTGTTTAGGGTTTTTTAGAAGCTGGTGCCACCACGTGGAATCAACTATGTACTGCTGATTTTATTTTTTTAATATCCTTGTTCTCTTCATTAGATTTTTGTTGGTTTAGGGGTTTTAATTCTGGTTTTAAAAGTAAAGTGGGAAAAATTTTAAATTTTTTAGGGGAAAAAAAGCAGCCGTGAAAGGCAGAAAAGTATTTATAACTGCCTTCTGGAAGTATGAGTTTTAAAGTAATATGTTACTACAGTACACAGATATTTTGAAACATCTTTGTGAGATGCAAGACAATATAATCACGCTATTGCATAGATTTAGTATAAATAAACTATATATAATTCTAGGTGACTTCTGTTGTGGTGCAGCTGTGCTATTTTTTATTTATTTGTATAATTCTAAGATCTCATACGTTTTTTTCTGTAAATTCTTGATTTGCTATGCCTGTAACTATACTTACACATTTTAACAACAACGATGAATAATTTAGGTGTATTAAATGGCTGTGCTTTTTCTTCTCTGAGCATTGTCTTATATGGGGCCTTTAGGAGTCCTGTGACTCTTCTGGTTTCAATTCTTACAAGGAACTTACCGAAGACTTAATATAAACTGGATTTTCTAAATATTTGAGTTCTCAGAACTTGTTTAAGTATTTTGCCCTCATAGTTTTACTTTTCATTTAGTCGCTCTAAAGACGTTTCATTCTCTGACAGGTAATGTGTTTAAGTATATCGTTAATCCTGGAAGGAGGAGTACTTTCTTTTGCTTAGAGCTGATATGAATGTAGATTGTTTTAAAGCCATATGTAGAATCAATTCAAGCAATTTGGCAAAGTCTAAGAACCTAAGCAATGTTAGGAGTGGTATTAGACAACATTAAGAGATGGGAAGTTTAACTTCACTGGTGATAGGTAGAGTCATGTGGGAGAGCAGCAGTCCTGCCTTTGTAGGCACCAGAGTAATGAGTCTTCTTCAATCCTTATTTCTGACAGTGGTCCAAATCGAGGACATTATATCACCATTGTGAAGAGCCATGGCTTTTGGTTGCTGTTTGATGATGACATTGTAGAGGTAGGTATGCTACTACATGGTGAAACCAAGCGTAGACAGCATCACTGTCCAGCTCTGGTTTTATGTCTGGGATGAGCTTTCACATCTGTGAAAGGATTTCAGCAAAACCTGTGCATGTAATAATAATTCTGGACATCTCAAAAGTAACCTTCAGCATTTTTGTGCGCCTTCGTTACTGAAGTAACGTGGAAAAGGGCAAATGAACACGAGGGCTTGTGTTGTCACCTCAGACACAAGGTGGTGGGTATCTGCTCAGGCTGAATTACCACAATTGTCTTATTCAAGACCTGAAATGCTCTTATTTTAGCCCACCTTTTGGGCTCCTTTTTCTTGCTAACTTACTTTGTGCTGGTTGCATTTCATTGCTGCATTTAAGAAGTTCTGACCTTTTTTTGTAGGCAGTTTTCCCCAACAAATTGTAGAAAAACAGTCAAAAAATATTTAGGAGACTATAGTAAGGTCCTGAGATTACACAAAGACGGTTGGGCTATTTGTGATAATGTTTAAACAGTCTGCTCTAGCAAATTTTACCTTAACTTTTCTACTAACATATCTGTAAAGACTAATATCCAAAGTATTTCTATATCCATGTGTTTCACATAATTATGAAGCAAATATCAAACAGTAGAAGAAATACCACAGTAGAATTGCTTTCTATAAAGATGAAAATGTACTCTTTGCCTCTGAGATCTCACGGTCAAGGCTAAGGCCTGATGTGAAGTGTCTAAATAGGTACAGCAAAATCTGTGCTTGTGTTGAAATAAATATAATGTAGTACATTCTCTTTTTTTAATCTTTGCTTAGCTTTGAGCATCAGGGGTGACTTCCTGGTGATTTGAATAGCTTGTATGACTATAAACAGTTGCCTTTCTCCCATTATTATATCTTGAGGGTTATTTTCCTCTGTTTCTGTCATGACCAAAGGACGTAATTGTGTCAGCTAATTTTGGAAATAGTGTTCACTTCAGTATTACTAAATGCAAGTGTTCACTGGAGATAAACTTTATATTTTAAAAGTAGATGCAAAATGACCATCTTGTTTTCTGTCAGTCGCTTCTCTGTTGTATCTTAGCTTTTAGGTCAAAACAGAATTTCTTTATATCTGCAAACATTGCTGGCACTTTTACAGATGTGCCAAAACGTAGCTTTTAAATATGCGCTGTCTGCTATGAGACAACAGTTTCAAGGAGCTGTCTCAAGTAAGCTAGAGTGTAGTTCCTCTCGCCTGGAGGGGTGCCTTTTCTTCCCTTTAAGTTGCTTTCTTCACATTAATCACAGCACCCTTTTTGAAAGTTAATTTTCTTTAACATAGTTTGTCTAAAATGCTGTAAAAATAAAACTTCTTGACCTGAAATTTCTACTTTCTGTGTTTCCTGTGGTACTTTGAGATTTTCACTGTCTTGGTTAGGGTTAGCAACAGAGCCATGTCCTGTAGCACTGCCTCTGCGCAAGCCACAGACCTAGAAGTTTGATTCCTTTTTCTGCTAGAAGACTCTCTCTGGCTGGCATTTGCATGTGTTTGTTTTTTGTGAAACTTCAGCTTTGTTTTTCCTTCTGCTGGAGGGTGTGAATGTTGCTCCTTGACCCGCTTTGAGGAGTGTAGTGTAAGGATTCCTGCT